AGTCATACCAAGATTGAAGTCTTATGGGGATTGAACAATCACGCTCCATTATTTTGAGAATCTCAGTTAACTAACAGCCATGTAATATCTGGAACATGAGTGCATTTACCGCTGAGTTCAACACTCCAAATTTTGCAACTGCAAAGCGATCGAAAAATCGAAAGATAGCTTATTTTGAAAAGTTTTGAACAGTTTCAGGAAATGTTGGATATAGGTAATCATATCTTCTCCATCTGAGAATTTCCGGGCAACCGAAGTACCTTAGGCAGTGTCCAATCAGTAAAGTCGGCCCATCTTCTTTGAGCTTACTCACAAAGAGTTGGGTCACGATGACGACGTTCTTATTTAGTAAAAGTGAATTTCTGATTGAAATTCTCTGATTCCAAATATTGACCAATCCTCAAAAAGTTTCACAATATTTTTGACTTCGTCGTGGCAGAAATCCAAAACTTTGATTGTATTAAGTATTGTAATATGTATTAGGTACCATCAGTAGCGCAAAGCAAGCTCTACAAAGTGGCGTTACAATTTTTGCACGAACTTATTGCACGCGAAAAGTTAAAAAATGGAATCGAAAAAGTCTCCAATGACCGCAAAATCCAAAATATTCGTATCTCCGTCCAGAAAATTTCATCGGCCCCCAACTTACTTAGAAACTTACATCCTTCATCAAACTTTAATTTGCGCGGTTGCTGTGAATTTTCCTTGGCTAGGCAGTAACGGGCATCACTGACACTCACTTTATGGAACCTGTCCACCTTCTCTACTTTCAAAATAAGCAATGTAGGCCATGTATTGGGAAAAAATCTTTAAGTACTTTGGCACTGAAGAAAACCGCAAAAGCTGAATTTCGCTCTAAACATATTGTTAGCTAATAGTGAAGTATCCTAGATGATGCACTTTAGCAGTGCTACAATTATGATCCTAATTAAGAGAATCGCGAAAACTCTCAGGGGTTTGCGAAATTTCCGTCGCATCTTTACTCGGTTCAGAGTGGATAAATTCAAACCCAAAGGTACAAATCAACTACTCAACCCAGCTTGGCGGTCGACAAGGCACTTCTTTTAAGACATGTAAAGGTACCTGTCTGAGTACAGCTCCACCAGCAGCTAACGTACAGTCGGATCATTTATTATGATCATGTGTCTCACCGCGCACGCTGTCCACCTTTGGAGTGCCCATCCCGGATTTTTGAGGAGACAACCTTCCAAGTCAATGTTTTCAGTGTGTTTTCAATCTATTTTTTCCTATTCAAAGGGTATTATCTCATAGTGATGTAAGCGTGAAAAACCTTCAGAATCTTGGGTTTTTGAGACTGCAAATCCAGGCTGGGACGCCACAAATGGACGGTGTGCGCAAATGCACATATTCATATAATGATTCGCCTATGTACGAGTTGTAGTCGGCAAACTGAGTAACCTACGGTAAGCAAAAAAAAATCGTGAGAAGAAAGAAACTAACCGCCTACCGCACATCTAGCGTACCAGGACTGTGACCTATATACCAAAAGATGCGAGGTGTTTGAGATGAATGTTGTCTTAAACAGAAATTGTCTTTTCCGGAATAGGATTATGTCAATTTTTACGAAGCGCGTTTCGCTGTTGTTTTTCACAAACTCGGAGTGTCCCATAAAGATGTGCATACTGTTTGATTGTTAATAACTCTCTTGCTTTCATGTCTTTTGCCGAGCTTGAGGTATCATTTTGTAGAGCGAGGATAGGCTTAAATTTACAGTTACGAATCACCAATCGCTCTTCATTACTGTAGGATTACGGTATGAACTTTCAGCATACAGCGTCACTGTGGAATAGGCCTTTTGATGAAATATTTTCAAAAAAATCTAAAAACTTGTGTAGTAAGTTTTTCAGGCGTGCTGATTTCACTACATGACTTTTCATGAGTTTTTCGAGCTTTCTTGATGGCGTACTCACATTTCTGACGAACATTAGGAAATCAATTGTTACCTTAAATCTGAAATGACTCATGAAAGAAACACTGTACTGAAGTGCAAATCTCCTGTTTAATCAGCGACTTCGATTAGCTCATTGTCAGTTCAAAAGTCTATGGCTTGCTCAGCTTTCTAAGGCAAAATATCGCTTTAAATTGCTCAAAATTCCTCGAATTTCTAATCGTACTAATGAAGAGCGGCTGATAATTCGCTACATACTGTGAATCTAATTTGAACTTCGCTTTAAAGAATGGTACCTTAAGCTCGGCAAAAGACAAGAAAGCAAGAGAGTTATTAACGATCAAACAGTGTGCACATCTTTTTGGGACACCCTGTAGACAATCACATTGTCTTTACAGTTCACTGCTTTTCCAAAGTGCAGTCAGCCAGATGTTGATGCTATAAATACTGATAAGTGGCGCATTAATAGTTGGTCATAAATGAGTTTTTTTTTGTAATATTATGAAACACAATTCGTCATAGTTGCTTAGTAGAGATATGTACTTTACAATTTTATCTAGGTCGTATTTGGCACAATCTAGTCATGCTTAGCCGCTTAAATAATAGAAATAAAAGTAGTATAACTAATAACTAATAGCATTCTTGATGGCAAACGAGTAGGCGTGAACACCTTCTCCATAGCTTACAGCAATTTAAATTGATCTTCATAACCACATATAAGTAATTTAATCACCATAGGTCTTCTTACTACTCGGTCTCAAGTCATTGGACGTAGCCTCTTGTGATGAGAGTATATCTATCACGCAAATCTGGGTTATTTAGAATATCTCAGGGATGATTTCTGGCAATAATGGGTTTATGGGCGCCATCTCCATGATCACATCAATCAAATTCTGACAAATGTAGTCTAGAAAAGTCACATACAAGTAATCAATATATAGTTCTCCACCAATTTATTTGGACCCGAGCTTTATGGTGAATTTTGATTGCGGTTGTATGAGTAAGTGTGTGCTCTGTTCTTTGTTCTTTTGTAAGGAACGCAGAAGCATATGGAATGTATGAATACATAAAAAAAATGTTATGATTGATTACTGCTAATTAATATAGAAGCGTTTTTATGAGGTCTTTCCTCTATGATCTGGAAAATGTTAGCAACATAGCATTACAGAAACAATCTATTGTTTTGAGTGTACACAAATCCTTCGGGCTTATGCCCTGAATAACAAACATCTTGTCATCTTCTAGATACGAAAAACATCTACAATTGAATTTTCGATCAGATAACTTTTCATAAATGGTAAAAAAGCTCTATTACAAAGTTTTCTTTTTAACTATGATAGAAGCGAAATGTTTGATCTGTACAAGCACACTACATACTGTAATTGTCATTTGCCCTTGTTGCGCACGCGCTTGTGTTGTGAATGATTTTATTCCATGTTGTTAGTCAAAGGTGACACTTTGCGTCATTTGCGTCATTAGAACCCGTTTTCACAGTTGATCACCTCGGTGCTATTTAAGACCCGGAAATTCCAGAACGCATGAAAGTTGTTTGCATATATTAGATTCCCTACCATTTAATAGCGGTCATTATCCATTTTCTTAACTCCATTTTCTGCCTCTTCAGCTCATTTCTAAAGCTTTCAGATCAGATAAATTATCATGAAACTCTTCGTCATCTTCTTACTTTTGGCGGCTCTTCATACTTCAACTTCACCACGAAGCCACAGAATTGAGTTTCTCTGCCTATGCTTTTTATTCTTACTTTTGAACTCTTTGAATCATGATGCAAAAGCTACTTCTTTTCGCTAAAAAAACCCTCAAAATCTTCGTGACCGGGTTTCAAAACAAGCTGAAATATTAAGCTGACGCAAAAATGATAAGCATTTTTCATTTTGACGTGCTATGACATGCTAAAGACCACATTTTCAAGTGCGGTAAAAACCACCAGAAGCAGCAAACCATTCGCTATACTGCGCACGCTGACCTATACTCCTATCACAAACCAGCGGAAAATACGGTTAAAATGAAAAAAGTTTTCTGACTTTTTCAAAAAGCATAACTCTTTTCATGATGAGTAGTCTATTTTGTAGCCGCAAGCCAGTAAAAACCCAAAATGGTCAGCTTTTTCAACATTTTTCAGTAGGTCTCAAAGTCTCAAATCATGTAATTTTCCGATTTTCTGCGTACTGAACTTCTAAATGTTTTTACAAGAAATACTGACAGGATGCCTCATCTATCCTAGGTGCCGAAATCTTGTCTAAATATATAAGAAAATATTTGAATGTGCTTAATGTAGGCAGGCAATTTCTGTCACATATAGTGGCCAAATTTTCAAAAGAGCGCCATTATATGCGCTAACTAAAAGTCCATTTTGACCTCGCTAAATTAAGCATCAAAGAGCTTTTTAATGGTATGCTAAATTTGTTTCAAGTAAGAGTTTTGGTAGAAGAAAGTTGCTTTGAAAAGTGCTTGGGCTTTACACGGGGATCAGCATCTCTTTACTTGACTGACGTTTTGTCTATATATCTTCTTCAGTGTCTAAGGCCGTGAGCATACCTCACGCAATTTCAGTCGCCACGCGACAAGACAGGGTGCCAGATTTCTTCAAGTTCAATACGGGCAGATAACTGCAGCATGCGCAGCATTAATAACTATTGTAGGGTGATAGAATGCTCTATCTCCCAAACATCAGAAACCCCTTACGATGAATTTTAATAATTAGAGTATTGCCGGTTCGCTTCGTGACTGAAGTCGGGTGAAGTATGCCGAGGGCCTAAATCAGCTGGTGATTCTCTGAAAGGCTGACCCCGATGTAAAGCTTGAAAAAAGCTTAGGAAAACGCTCATTAATATGTTATCAATTTTGTTTTTTCATTTTCAATTTCTGAAAAACGAATTTTTTTGCCCGTTTGTGATATGAGTGTAGGTGATTTGTACTAACAGTAACTTCAAACTCTATATAGAGGCGCCGCTATTTTTTTCCCATGCATACCATAAGAATGATCAACTAGCATATATTTTCGGTAATGTTGAATACAAAAAACATAATGCAAAAGATTTATTCGCTTGACAAACTTATAGAGGATACGCACAGAGTTTGGGATACCCTTGAGATACTCCATTCTCGCAAGTCAGTTCTCGACCGGGCTGGTAAACTTTTTCTCCCACCACATTTCCTCTAAATCAGCACGTTGCATTGCTATAAACTGCATAATACTATGCTGAGGTCTATGCTTACTTCGGACTGTAACGGCACACTACGATGGTTTTGCCATCGCAGTCTCCTATCTCGCATCCGATTTTATACGTTTTTGCCCAAACCATCTAGAAAATAAAAGCGTAAGAAAAGCGAAGGGTTGTGCTGTGTTTACGTACCTGCGACCAATGGTACACAGTAGGTTTCTTATTGGCGAAGAATTGCGTGAAGTCTATATTTTGGTTGATGCCATTTTTTGTAATCTCTTCGAACCATGCAGTTCCTGCCTATAACATCATACATCTACATACACATCAATGCTATTTAAAAAAAACTGCTCCCTTAAGGGCGAGCTAGTGTTAAAGTCCTAACTGTGATGACTCCAAATACATACAGCAGAGACTCACTATGTACATAGCTTGTGACGCTGATCCAATCTCTTGGTATTCCTTGTTAATCATGTAAAAGTTTTCACCCTCATTCGTAAGTGATGTTTGGGAAGTTTCTGTCTGAGGGCATGCGGAGACAATCGAGTGTGCACTCGTTTCCAATTCACAATCGTATTTCTAAAAAAAGTTTCTGTGCGAAAGAGATATCGAGAAGGTAGGGAGTTATAAAAACAACCATTTCCAGCATGTTCTTTGCATATCTTATGTTGAAGGTGTTAACACCATTTTTGTATCCAGCGTTAGCTGTGGACTGTCTAAATTGAAAAGCACGCTACTTTTATACAGTCATCTGCAAACGACTTCTCAACCTTTGTTTATCGGCTGACCATACATGTTCTAATTACAGAGTACAACTGTCATAAGGCAAGAACATCTCATGATGCATGAGTACAATCTGACGTTAAAAAAAAGAGTTACTTTGGCTCTTCTAACATGGAATATCTCAGCTAGTACTTAGTGTATTTTCAGAATTGTTTGCGCTAACCACAACATCACCATAATAGAGATCATGGGCATTTCTCCTTGCAAGTATATGCTCATCGAACAAATAGGGGAAACAGTCGAGTAGATTTTCCGTTTAATATAGTGTGCTTGCACAGGTGAAATGCGGTAAAATTTGCGCATGAAAAAGTAGCCACACCAGTACTGCCGGCATTTTGCGCCCGCAATTGGCCGGCGTCACAGGCGAAACTATTTGTTCACGCGCAAATTTTACCGCATTTCACATTCTGTGCACGCACACTATATTAAGGGAAATCTACTCGAATGTACACACATCACAACACATTCAGGCAGTATCAAATACAAACCTTTTGAGGTGTGCTCTATCATTCATGATATTACATGGTTAATGTGTGCTTCTCTGTGAACTTCTGCATAGCACTCTAAGCTATAATCAGCAAGCAGAAACGATTATAACGTTATCGAATGAAGTTAGGCAGTTGAGGATAAATTTTAAGTTGACACATTGAGCTGCCTTAAGCACTAGCTTTTCAGTCAGAATTACCGAATCAATAAAATCAGTTTTTGTACAGGGCAATAAAGCTATGTAGCGAAAGCGCTGCAAAAGCGGAAAACTGATTGACGACGATTTTCTTGAGTATCACTTTTGATTCGAACTTACCTTTTCTGATTGTGGATTTCTAAGATGATGTCTCTGCCGGTAGAATCAATTAAGTAGTCATCGTGATTGTCGCACTCTGAAAGCAAGATGTGTTTTTATGCCATGAAACTGAAACTTTGAGCAGAGATAATCAAATCTCTCCTCTTAATTACTGTACGAACGTGCTTGTTGTGAAGTCGCAAACATCGAGCACAACCATAACTAAACAAAATTTTTTAGTTTATTTATTTTCTTCTTCCATGCTCATACTAGAATTCATCATGTGCATCTGAGCTTTTGTTATGATTGTGTTGTTGCGCTTGTGAACAACTGCAACCGCAATTTGAAAAACTTTCGTTCAGGATTGAGGCGACGAATATGTTAAAAGATAAAGGTTTGAAGACGATCGCTACAGTAAAATTTCAGAAGTTACCTAAATACACTGAAAAGTACTAGCTGTTCAAACTTCTGGATTTGGTAAACGAAGTCGCTCAGCTATAGATAATCGAGTTTCCATGGAATTTTGGTCTGTTTAATGTATGTAGACTTCAAGGCATCACCTTTAAGGAATTGCAGAAGATGTAGGGTACTAACAGTTAATTTGATAGGGCACTTTCGTTTAACATTCCGCACATCCTTTCGTAACAAAACGTTTGACTGATTTGATCTCATGAAGAGTACCGTGGGATACGAAAAAAGTAAAGCAAGCGTTCTAAAGCATTCTCTCAAAAATTTCACCCTAACTTTATTTCAAATATATTAACTAATAATACTTACTTAGAGTGAGGAGTAGCTGTCTTAAAGCAAGGCTAAATGCGACATACCGCTGTGACGATGAAGTGTTCTTCAAGTGCTGCCATATTGCTATGTGGCTTCGTCTGCTTTCGCCCTTTTATAAGTGTGTTATGAAGCTTTCGCTGAACGAATTTGTGTGAAATTTTATTATTGTATACCTATACAGTATGGAAAATGTAAGACATCGACTGTACTTTAAGATAAACGCCTATTTTCTTGCTAATGAGGGTTTCGGTATGGAAGAATTCAACGGTGTGGCTTTCTATAAAGCAATTTTATCGTCTTGTACTATACATTATGGGAAATGTGAGACATCGATCGTTTACTTCAAGATAAACACCTATTTTGTTGCTAATGAGGGTTTCAACATGGAAGGAATTCCATGGTGTGGCTTTCTATATAGCACTGTCGATATAATTTTCGTATAAGGCAAAACTGTAAACATCCCAGTAATTCTCGGCGCAATGTGCATCCACTTTTAGCTTTCTGTTGATTGTGAAGGATCATCATGGAAAGTCTGACTGAGCAGCGCTAACCTCTTGTGTTGACTACTAACAGACAAAATATTTCCTAATGTAACTGAAGATACACCTCAATTCAAAAGCAGCACATGTTGAACCAATAGATGATTAACAATAGGCGAAAACTAGTGGAAGTAACCTAACAGGTAAAACTCAACCCTCAAAGAAAAGTATAAACGAGCTTTGCATCTGTACTCATCTACACATCTTAAATGCTTTTCAAGACTCGAAATTCTGAACCATTACAGCTTTTTTCTGCTAGAGTTTTCCCTAAGTTTTTGCAGTTTCAGACACCTTACGATGCCGACCGCAATTTTCACCCCATTTAGTTCATATGACTTCTGGATTAGCAAGCTCATGTTAGCAAAAGACGTTGTAACTTATAAAGTTCACTTTTTTTTACAAAAATCAGAAAGTGAAGTATTGAAACGAGGAATGTAAGAAGCAATGGCACAAATTTTGCTGTAGAGGAGTCCTATAAATACGTTGATGCTGCGGTAAAAAATGCTCTGTAACACCAATTATAAAGGTTAATAAGTAACGAATACTAGTCTACAGTTATTTCTTTTGAAAGGATTATCGAAATCAGCATATAACTATCTATAACTTTTGCTAATCTCTTTCTGCAATATAGCTAGTTTGCCATCAAATTTGGCCACGTTGCAGTACAGACCAATAAACGATTATGTTTTCGTAAATATTTATGCTTTACGTGTCATAAACGCTGATCCTGCAAAATTTGCAATTACGAGTTGTTGCCGTTTATGGAGTTGATCAAATGCGAAACATCGTATTCTTCGAAATCCACTTTGTTATTCCTATTTTCACTTCAATTACGGTTCGGTAGGAGAGTGATCGCTCAAGTGTTGTTTCGTTCACTTTTGGCTTGTTTTTTTCTAAGTTTTATTCAGAGAAAGATTCCAGAACATATTAGGTCGTTTCAAAAGTAATTTCGCTTTCTTCAAACGGGCACCACAATTGATGGAACAAAGGTTTCTGAGAGATCTTGGAAGCATTCGATGCAGAATTTCATTCTCTTTCTAATGGTTATGAAAATTTTCTAAAACAGTCAATGATCTTTCAGAAAATAACCAGAGTTTGCGACCCATGCTTTTTGAGATAGTCTAGTTCCACAATTTTTTAAAACTTTCACATCAAACCGCAGAGGAAGTTCAAGTAAATGTTCGATAGAGCAAACCATATAGAATGCAAAACTACTTTTTTATCCTTTCCATAGCTTGTCATATATTTTTGACAGAATTTTAACTTATGCTACCGATTTTCATACTTGGGCAGCTAAATCCTCGTATAACATCAAAGGAAGAACAGCTCGGCCACTATTCGACGCAGCATCTTCTCCTCTTTCTAACAGGTGGTTATGTTTCCGATTCTTTTAGTTTTCGGAAATAAAATCATCTCAATTCATTTTTTCAAGGGGCCTCATGCTGTACATGAAAATCACGAGATTTGATATCTCAAACCCGTAAACCCTCACTTGCTTTGCAAAGTTAGTGCTGACTCATAGTACAGTCTTGGTAGTCTCAAATTCCGAAAAATTATGATGTTTCTGCGATTGTGGCTGAGGTGGGCCTGCCAAAATCCGATGGCTCTATTAGAAAATCTTTTAAAAAATTACGGCGAGCTATGAGAAAGAGGAAAAAGTAGCACTGTATTCTATGAGGTTTACTCTATCGAATTGTTACTTGAACTTCTTCTGAGGATTGATATGAAAGTTTTAAAAAATTGTTAAACTTGACCATCTTAAAAAGCATGGGTCACAAACTTTGGTTATTTTCTGAAAGCTCATTGACTGTTTTGCAACATTTTCAAAACCATTAGAAAGAGAATGAAATTCTGCATCGAATGCCTCCAAGATCTCCAAGAAACCTTTGTTCCATCAAATGTGGCGCTCGTTTGGAAAAGCGAAATTACTTTTGAAACGACCTAATATTAATAAGGATTGGGTTTCCAATAAGCACAATTATTCATGCGTCTTTTCAAAGTTTTTTTTCAGGAAGGCCAATATGAACGTTAGTTGTGACAGTCCAAGCTTTACTTGGGCCATAATCTCTTAATACCCTAGTTATTCTACTACAGCAAAAATTGTGAAGAACGTTAGGAACTGCAAAATCCGATTTTCCACTCAGGTTGATCGAAGAGCACACAGATTTGGAAAATTAATACGTTGAAGACAACGCAAACTTTTTATTGTCTATCTCTTGAGACCAAAACCTTTCACGGAGCAGTCATCATTTTTCAGATAAAATCACGCATAATGCCATCTACAGTATACCCTACAACTGCTGTGGAAGGCTGACAAAAAAGATAGAGGTTACCTCTAGATTCACAACAAGAAAAAACTTTTGGAATGAGTTTATACTAGGATAGTCTTCATTTTAACGAAGTTCATGTTTTGGGTCCCACGTGGTAGTCACTGCTTGACGCACATGGTGTGTCAAGCGGTTGTCACTGTGTTAAATATGGCGCATTGACAGTCGCAGGTGTACCATATGATCACAAGCAATTCGCTCATCTTGATATATCTTTTCCCTTAACAGTGAAATCCTAATAAATTTTCAAAATCGAAACTTTGTAGACCTCGGTGACTCGCTTTACCGGGTCAGTACTTCAATTCCTCTCCTTTCAAGGCACTACTTTGAAGTCACAGCAAGCAGTGGGCTTTGTTTATGCAAATAAAGCTTCATAAATAATGCGGAAAGAAATAACTGGAAGGACGTGCCCAAAAACATTTCTTCTGAGATACGAGCGTTCTTCTATTTTCTTTCGCGTTCATGAATAGCGTTGAGGCCATCATCGCAACCCATAATGATTGAGTCGTTTACAACATTTTTTTGTCCACATGCATGTCAATTAAATTTTATGCCCCACCAGCATGTTATCACTGTACCTATGCTTGCACGCTCGTTATTTCAACAAAATATCACTGCTGTTTGATATAATTACATGGAAACCGCCAAACTTTATCGATGCTGCTTTCCCAATGAAGTTATGCCATAAGACTAGTTAACCACCGTAGATTCCTTATGTTGTGATAATGGGGGGGGGGGGGGAGGAGTGTTCCCCCATAAGTATTCAAAATGGTACAGCAACTCAGACAATTGCATCGGCAAGTTCGCGGGTGATTGCTCGGCCACCAATCATCCATGCCGAGAGCTGCCCGGTGAGAGTTTAGTGCAGGCCTTCAGCTAAAAATGAACATGGAGCGAACATCAACACCCAAGTGTTGTATATTCTCTCGTTTAACGCTCTGCAAGCTCGCCGATGGATTTTGGTGAAAATGTTGATGCTCTTGAATTGAAAGGAAACCTCGCTCCAGAGGTTTTCGAACATGCTTTTTATGAACAAAGTCTCTGAAGATTACAGGGTCTTCTCGGAGAGATACGGTGAGGTGACTGTAATTGAATGACGAAAATGCGTAAATCTGCCGCACTTCTCGCGTATCTGTCAAAAAAATTGCCTACTTTCTTTTCTAAGTCAAAGTTACTAGGGACCGTGCATCGAATGGTGCATGAATCAGGCTTCAGTCTAAAAAAAATCGCCGAGTTACAAGCTTACGAAAACACGTCCTCATGCATTTTGCCCAAAATGTAAAGATCGCATATTTCGTTGAAATTCCACCGTGAGTGATTGTATGACATTCGCATTTCGTATATTATGTTTGCTTTGCCCAATGAGTTACACTTATTGAATATGGTGCTTGCGTCTGCTTCAGCTGCTCAATTGAATATCAAAGCTATTTCGTGGCTAGAGCGCAAAAACTACCAAATCTGACACAATAAGATCCATTAATGATGTCAAAATTTGATAACCGTGTTCTATAAGCACTCAAGATGGAATTTCGACGAAATATGCGAACTTACATTTTGGGCAAAGTTCATGAGGACGTGTTTTCGTAGGCTCGTAACTCGGCGATTTTTTTAGATTGGAGGCTAAGCTATGCACATTCGATGCACGGTCCTTAGTAACTTTGACTCAGAAAAGCAAGCAGGCAAGTTTTCTGACAGATACGCGAGAAGTGCGGGCAAAAACTTACGCACTTTCGTTGTTCAGTTACCGTCGCCTCACCGTATCCCTCCAAAAGACCGTGTAATCCTCAAAGACCATGATTTTCGTAAAGAGCGTGCTTGAAAACTTCTATAAGCGAAGTTTCCTTACAATTCAAGAGCATCAACATACTAAAATCCATCGGCGAGCTTCCGGAGCGTAAAACGAGAAAAAATGAAATAACCCGAACATATCGGAAAACTTGCTCGTAGAGGTTATGCGACCTGCTGAATTCGAAACTCACATCTGCTTAGCAAGATAGCTTCGTATTCTAGGACTATGGAGAGTAAAATTTGGGACGACAAGTTTTTTCCACAATTCACCAGCTCTTCTATTTCCTTTGAGAAGAAATCTGCGGCTACTCTTTAGCGCATCGTAATCTAAAAAAAGTAGTATCAAAAATTCTTTTTTTTTAATCTTGAATCTCCCTGCGAACGTCTCTTCGCGAAGGTGTAAAGCAGCGAGCATTGTCCCGAGCACAGGTGCGATAGTGCGTGAAAATTTTTTCACCCCCCCCCCCCTTTCACCTCTGAGCAGGGACCAAAGTGACCCCCTTCACCAAAAGCAGAAGAA